GATTCCTGGTACACAGCTGATAAACACTGATGACTATGCTTTGCTTTACAACGCAAGATGTGGGTATGCAGTTGAGTAGATGGATTTATACGCAGTTTATTTCATAACATGCTGATGATTTCAATAGCCACTGTGCTATACGTACATGGAAATTGCTTATTTAAAAAAAAATCACTCATTTGTCATGGCAACCAATCCATCAGTTACTTCTATCTTTCTTGGAATCTAAGACCTCGTACAAGATGTGGGGAATTTCTAGCCTGTCCCTTTGCACTGTAAATAACTGACTGCTACCCAGTAACCTATCCTTGCAGAATATTCTCCAGCAAAAGGATAGTAGGAGAAATGTGAAACCTTTCTTAGCTCCCACCTTATCTATCTTACTGGTGTATGAATGTCAAAGCCTAGTTGGGACAATTATCCATAATGGAGAGCATTCTAATCAAAGGCTTCATCTACATTACAATTAGTTGTGGGACTGGGTTGCAATGTCACCTGACCTGGTTAAAAACCACTTGTAAATTGTAATGTAGATGGGATCGGATCATGTCCCCATAACTGAACTAAAGCTTTGGACAGGTCTGGGTTTAAGTGAGCTACAGGGACACGGGTCACATCTACAAAACTTCTAACTGCACTAAATCCTGACTCAGTTATAGCTATTGTACAGATTGGTCCTCAAGGAAAAAATAATTGGGCTGAGGCACTTTCTAAAAATATGCTTCCCTCTCTTCCCATTGCGGCTGTGTTGGGAGGTCAATGACTAAAATACGTCTTGATCCTTCCGTCCATTTTAGTCTTCTAATTGCAGCTCTTTTAAGAGGTGCCAGTTACAACTGGGGTAGACGAGTGCCATCAAATAAGGATCCTATGTTCTGTGGAGTTTTCAAAAGTGCTCAGTATTGGTCTAACTCTGCTGCTGTTGAAATCATGGGAGCTTAGAGGTGTTTAGATCTGGGGTGGGGAGCATTAGACAAATAGGTTAGCTGCTAAATTCAGATTCTGAATGTCCCAGAGTCTGGGGGGCTTATTTAAGGTCTAACTTTAATCTGTCTCTCTTCACTTGCTGTTGCTGTACTGTGTCACTCACTTGACTGTTTTGTTTCTCTTCCATCAGTAGTACCAGTCAGCACGCAGAGAACTCCTGCAAAAGTCTCCATGGTGGGTAGCCCATGCATTTCCTCACCCCGGCCAGCAGCTTGTGCTCCCAGCTATGCTGGGGACCTTCCTCTTTCTACCAACACTCCAACATTCTCTCTCAAAAACCCAACAGTCGAGGCCCACACTCCAGCGAAGCAAAGCAAAGCCATATCAGGCACTTCTCCCAAACCATCATCTTCCACCAAGATGTCCATTAAACACTGGGTTACCAGGACTCCATACTCCTCTCCACCAGGGATGGGAACAAAGACGCCTTCGCCAAGAAAAGCCCTGGCAGAGGTCACACAAGGTCTTCCAGAGGCAGTTGGCACCCCTGTAGCACCACACTCACGGTTTGAGAAGCGAGCCAAAAGGAGGCTGGAGTCCAGCAAGGGAGATCACATGGGGCAGAAGTGTCTGAAAGGCTGCAGTTGTGTGACTGAGCTGGACCCAGTGGCTAAAAAATCCAAGCTGGATTTGTGCTTCTTGGCAGCAGGCCAAAAGGCCTGTAATGAAGACTGTCTGAGCCTTGCTGAGTTGAATAATGGAACTGAAGGCTGTGGCCAGAGCCCAAAGGAGACATCCCTTCCTGAAAGCCCTCTTAATCAGGCAGGCTTCCAGACTCCCCCTCTTCCTTTAAAGAACTCCTGCAGGAAAGGAGCTGATGTGCTGGACAAAGAGAATAGTTCACCTGGGGAAAAAAACTGGCTGTCTGCAATGGGAGAGAAGCTGAAGACTAGCAAGGCCAGTAGCCAAAAAGCGTCAGGCAACAGCCCCCCATCCTCTCGGAGTCCCAGCACAAGACAAGAGGCAGCGACTGCAGCCAGTCCATCGGGATCTGTAAGTAGACTAGGCATGGTTACAACAGCAGAGAAACGGTTGAACTCTGGGTTCTGTTCTCTTCTTGCAGTGTTGCACAACTCCCATTTGCAACTTGTGCATCAAAAGGAGCATCAGACCTCATTGCTTGTGGGGAGGAGGGGAAGGGGAGAGGAAGGAAGGGAAATCTGATATAACAAGCCCCAGTATCTCTGCCATTCAGGGTAATGATGTTATCCTTCAGTGCCACCTGTACTCTTGGGAGAGAGAAACAGAACTGGTTTTGCTCAACTGAAAATGATTTAGAACAGAGTATTGGAAAATGCTCATTATCTATGACACTGGCACTTACAATGCACTTCTACTCTGAAAATAACAACAGCACTTACTTGACTGATCTGCTGCTTACATTTTTTTTATCTGCCCACTTACATGACATAAATTGGCCCCCACTAGCACTGCAGACCCAACCCAGCTTTTGGAGAAAGTGCGCTGAATTTTATTCTAGCTCTTGTATCAATTTGTAAGTCTGTAACAATTGTGGGACTAAATTCTACCCTCGGTTACATCTGTGGAAAAACCATTGAAAACAAAGGGATTGCACAACTGTCAGAGGGCAGAACTTGGCCTAAAGACTCCTTACTATTTGTGTTGTGCAAGAAAGCAGGAACCCAGCATGACTTTCTGCATTTGCAGAGTGGTTAAAATGGTTGGCATATGAGGAGTTTTTTGTGCTTTAGAGCAAATTCTCAATTTGCATGTTGTCACTGAATCAATATACATGGAATCCCATGATGCCTGTAACTTCCCAAATCAGTTTTCAGAGGACTGCTGAGCTGTTTATAAAACTGATAACTGAGGTATGATTATTACAATCTTTAAAAAAAAATGAGGAGTCCTTGTAGCGCCTTAGAGACTAATACATTTATTTGGGCCTAAGCTTTCATGGGCTAGAACCCACTTCATCAGATGTATGAAGTGAAAAATACAGGAGCAGATATAAATACATGAAAGGATGGGGGTTGCTTTACCAAGTGTGAGGTCAGTCTAATGAGAAATCAATTAACAACAGGATACCAAGGGAGGAAAAATAACTTTTGAAGTGGTAAGAGAGTGGCCCATTACAGACAGTTGACAAGAAGGTGTGAGTAACAATAGGGAGAAATTAGTATTGGGGAAATTAAGTTTAGGTTTTGTAATGACCCAATCACTCCCAGTCTTTATTCAGGCCTAATCTGATGGTATCCAGTTTGCAAATTAATTCCAGTTCTGCAGCTTCACATTGGAGTCTGTTTTTGAAGTTTTTGTTGTTGAAGAATTGCCACTTTGAGGTCTGTTATTGAGTGACCAGAGAGATTGAAATGTTCTCCTACTGGTTTTTGAATGTTATGATTCCTGATGTTAGATTTGTGTCCATTTATTCTTTTGCATAGAGACTGTCCGGTTTGGCCAATGTACATGGCACAGGGTCATTGCTGGCACATGATGGCATATATCACATTGGTTGATGTGCAGGTGAATGAGCCCAGATGGTGTGGCTGATGTGGTTAAGTCCTATGATGGTGTCCCTTGAATAGATATGTGGACATAGTTGGGACCGGGGTTTGTAGCAGGGTTTGGTTCCTGAGTTGGTGTTTTTGTTGTGTGGTGTGTAGTTGCTGATGAGTATTTGCTTCAGGTTGGGGGGCTGTCTGTAAGCGAGGACTGGTCTGTCTCCCAAGGTCTGTGAGAGTAAGGGATCGTCCTTCAGGATAGTTTGTAGATCTTTGATGATGTGCTGGAGAGGTTTTAGTTGGGGGCTGTAGGTGACAGCCAGTGGCGTTCTGTTACTTTCTTTGTTGGGCCTGTCCTGTAGTGGGTGACTTCTTGGTACCCTCTGGCTCTGTTATTTATTAGTTATTTTTCCTCCCTTGGTATTCTGCTGTTAATTGATTTATCTCGTTAGACTGACCTCACACTTGGTAAAGCAACCCCCATCCTTTCATGTATTTATACCTGCTCCCGTATTTTTCACTTCATACATCTGATGAAGTGGGTTCTAGCCCACGAAAGCTTATGCCCAAATAAATTTGTTAGTCTCTAAGGTGCCGCAAGGACTCTTCATTTTTTTTGCTGATACAGACTAACATGGTTACCACTGAATACAATCTTTAGTTACACCAGAATTTGAAACTTGATGGTAGAATAGAATTTGGGCTACAAATTATCTTTGAAACTGTCATAATGACTAGGGCTTATCTTGGTAAAATCCCTTCCTATCCACCTTAGTTTTGTCTCACACCAGCATTTGGGCTCATGCAGAGTGCTAACAATACAGACCATTCAGTAATGCACTTCAGAGACTTAGTCCTTTCATGATTGAATGTCTTTCTAAACAACATACTCTAGCTCTGCCTCAGGTTGGTCTTGATGCAAATGAAAAATCTATGGCCCCAGACTAAATGATCATAATGATGTCTTCTGGTCTTAAAATCTATGAAATTTTGTATCTGGTGCAGACAGGGTAAAAACTAGAGCCTCTGGCTCTTCTCATAGAACAGAAGGGTAACTCAAGGATTTTAGCAAATGTTTCCTGTCACTAAACAGGATCCCAATGTCCCAGAAGCCATACAAATTATTGCAAAGAACATAATGGTTGTCCTTTTAACAGTATGTAACTTGGCAGCTCCTCGGCATAGACAAGCTGTTGCAGTTATGGAGGGGAGAAGTTTAAAAGACTTTTACAGTGCGTCCAGAGTTTAACCTGGAAGAACTAGATGGGGACATCTACTGTCAAATACACATGTTTATAGTTGACTTGAATCTCTTCTAGGTTGCAGTCACTTCAGTTTCCATGAGGAAGATCTGCACGTACTTCCATCGAAAGTCACAGGATGACTAGTGCAGTGTACTGCATTTGAAAGGAACTGTAGCCCTGATTGTTGACACACTACTGGTGCTACCAAAAGTGGATTTAGCAACCCAGAAGGAGGAAGACACTAGGATTAGCCAATGCATTGTTGGCCCTTAATAAAGTTGGATTTTTTTTTATTCTCTTGTTCTTTGAATTCTTTTATAAAATCTGTTACACTTTGTAGCCTCAAGTTAGTTCAGCATGAAACACGTAGAATGCTAATTAATGGAAACTCACGCCATTAACATGAAGTAGGTGATGGATTTTAAAATATATGTTTTCTTTTAACACGTCACTCAGTTAAATGTTCCCCCGTGAGTTCTTTTTCACATGGCATCTGTGAAATGCTCTAGTTATCTTTAGAAACAGCATCTTTGATGTGTGTTATTAACATAGTCAAATACAGCTTGTCAGTTGATATTTGTTTTATGATGTCTGATCTTGAAACTTTTGTACTTAAGAGCACTATGCAAAACACATACCATCTCCTTTTGATAGCAGCTGAATAGAGATGTCTTGGAGAAACTGTTGTTGCAAATAGACTGGAGCCACCATTTCTGCTAAAGGATATTTCTACAGCTTGTTTTTCTTGTATAGCAATGACTCTCCCATTTCAGCAAAGAAGCCTGTAAATGTGACTTATCTTCCTGTAAATACAAAACATTTTAATGTTCCAGAGTGTCTGTCTTACTTTTCCAGTGGTGCATGTGATTCTTGCAGTGTGAGAAAAGATACAGTATAGCTAAGGGCATTTTTGCCTTCTTTTAAAAAAAATTCCCCTCTCCCACCATCTCCCAAGTTTGCTGCTTTCCATACTCCAGCCTCTGCTAGCCCAAGGACACCCATGATAGTCTTGTAACCATGGAGAGCATGGCTGTCGAGGCTGGAAGCCTGATCCCCCCTTTTAAATCAAGTGTTGTCAAGGTCAGTTAGAAGTTATCAGATTTTAGTCTATCCCAAACAAAATTGGCTTTAGGAGAAAGCATTCCATACTAGCTTATTGACCTTTTATGGATGTAAATTGTAGCATAACTGTCTTGATGTTAGAGGCAGAAAAAAAACCCACTTCACAGAGTTTAGGTTGTAATACTAATATTAATGCTTAAAAGGCTTGGATTGGAGAATAATGTATATAATTGGGTAGTGTGATTATGGTTGGCTGTCCCAAATGGGGTCAGGATTCTGCAGCTAAAGCCCTTTGTCACCACCGCTGATAGTTCAGACTGAAACATCTTGCTGGTGCTAAAACGTAATGAAGGGACACTGAGGTGTAATGAGCCAGACAGAATTCAAATAGATATGTTATGCTGATGATGACTAACTCACAAGTTATTGGTTCAGTACAGGAGTAACTGGCTGAAATTCTAAGGTCTGTATTTTACAGGAGGTCAGACTAAATGATCTAATGGTCCTTTTTGGCCTTAAAAATCTATGAAAGTCTGTCTATTTCAAGCCTCAGGATTGCAGACCTCCTGAACGTTATTTAAAGAAACACAATAGAATTAAGTCACATTTCTGTCTGAAACTTTTGCACCTACTAATGTTAAATGACTTATTTCTAGAACTGAAATGGATTAGAGGAAAAAAGTTTTATATTTTCCTGGTTTATATTTTACTGTGTGCATTGGAAAGCACTTTAGGTACTCTTTCACTGAGTCTCCTGTATCACCAATTTCTCTTTACACAGCAAGGAGGGAGAGAAATACACTTTTTTTTGTTTTTTTAAATATGATAGTAAAACTGCACTGTTGGCAGGAAGACTCAAAGACAGGTATAGAACCTGAAATTACTTTCTAATTTTTGTAACATTGACTCAGTTTCAAGTTGACAGCAGCCATCTAGCTTTGGAGAAATATCAAACTAACATTAAATTGGACAAGTAAAATATACTTCAGCCATTTATTAAACCTTGCTTCAAAAACTGGAACCTTTAAGTGGTGTCTGAGTCAATCCAATATCTTGAGCTAACTATGTCTAAAAAAGCCTGACACTTTGATGTTCAAAAGTAGCTCACCATTAAACTTGACCTTAAAGGGTGGGAGGAATTGAAACTTAACGTAGAGGGCAAACTAAAGTCAATAGGACAGTTTAATGTTCTGCTAAGTATCTTACACACGTGTAAGCAAACTCTGCTGATTTGTACTCTGTATTGCCAGCGGTTTCAGTGGGGCTGCATAACGAGCATAAACTCCCACAGAAATTCCATGGGTGTCCGTCCATCCGTCCCCTCCACAGCTTTGTGAGAGGTTACAGTTGTGAGGGGATAGGATGGTGAGGGTGAAATTCTGGTCCTCTTGAAGTGAATCCCTCTCATACTTTTAATGATACCTTCCACTTCTGGGAATAACTCCCACACCTAAACCCTTACTCATCTCTACTCCTCAGCTGATTATTCAGGGGTTTAGAAGTGTAAATGGGCAAATACCTGGCCAGATAATCTTCAGTGGGAATGTGAGAGCCCTTCTCCTTTCATGGCAGCTCTGCACAGCTTCTTACCCCAAGCACACAAAATCAATTTGGCTAACACTATGAAGACACAGAACGTAACTGAATCCCTTATTCTTATGTCGTCAAAGTGACACAGTCTGATCCTGACAAAAAGCTTGGCTCCAGGGGAATAGGAAAGGAATTGTTAGTATGAATCACTTGGTTTGTGATGTGACAGTCTCTTGTTTTCAGACTGAGGAGAATTGCATAATGTGGTTTAGGTCAACTAGTAATGTCTTTACCTAGGGCATCTGCTCAAGCATTTAATATGTATGTCCCCAAGCAACTGAACCCACCTGCCTGTCTTGAAAGAGCCAAATGTATTTCTAAAACAGGTTTTCTCCTACATGATCCCCAAATACTCTCTAGCCTCAGACGTCACAAAAAAATAAATTAAAAATTCTCCATAATAAATTATTCCAAAATCCTAGTATTCTAGCTCTCCTCCGTTCCCTACAGGAGTGCTGGTTCTCTTCCCAATAGTCTTATGTGGTGTGCCTTATGTTCTTTGCCCTCTTTTTCATGCTGGAAATTCTGCTGCAGATGTCACACGTCCAGTCTGAATTGTCTGGCCTCTTAATTATGCCTTGGTTAGTCCTCCTTGTATCTTCCCTCTCTCTAGAGATTGATTGCTATAAGTCACCTTTCAGCACTATACTGTTGTGCTATTTGGTGAATATTTGCACACCTATTCTATTGAATGCGGCAAAGATATTTGCAAGAATTTAGATTGTGATGTGCTTCCTGAATCACGGGGCAAATAAAACTTTTTCAGAAATGCCTAAGTGAGACTATAGGTAAAATTTTCAAGTGTCACCTTTTGAAAAATGGTACTTAAGAGCCTAAATCACTTATGCTTTTTTTAAAGTGTGACCCATAATTGTGCTGGCAATGATGTGTTTCAGATGCACATCCCCTCTTAAGACTCTACTTATTGCGACTGTTGGAACTAGTGTCCATTTTCCTGTTAATGTTCGTGTCAGATTCTTCTGGCTGGTTAAATTAATTTGTTTCCATATGAAAGTTTTGAATTGTTGAACCTAGGATTAAATATCTTATCTATCCTGTTCTGTATTTGGGAATTTAATTGTGTGATACAATTTTGCTTTGGAAACAAGCATTCCCCAACCAGGAATTTGCCATGAGAATCCATTAGAAACCCACACGTGCCACCATGTTCAGAGGTCCCTTTGTTGCAGTCACATGCACTCTGAGGTCTCTTCCAAAAGTGTCTGATCTTTCAATATTTCTCAAGGTCAAGTCTTAAAAAGACTCGTAGATTCCACTGCTTTGGCACTAGGTCGGAAGCAGAGCTTGGGAGTCTGTCTGTCCCCAGGTCTATTGTGCTCAAGGCATTTTAATGCTGACTTGAGCACTTGTCGATATGAGAGGTAAATTGTCAGCCTCTAATTCTTTTCAATCTCTGTTAGTAAAATAAACAAATGACTTCTTACCCCAGTGTAGCATTTTTGTGCATCATGCAGAAAACTATTGCTCATTGACCTCCTTTGGATTTCTTTGACTTTCCAGCCTGCAAGATAGACCAAATGTCAGATTTTGGGCATATAAGGTATTATGTTACTCAGTAATCTCTTTCATGGGTTTGGAATAGCCATAGAGTGGCTTTGACCATAACCAGTGCTCTGTTTGGACAGTGGAAAAAGCCAGAGATCATAGAAAAAAGTGAGCGAATAAAGCCAGTCCCAAGGATGGGAGGGAGCACATCTCCATGGTTTATTTTAAAGTAGTTTGTCTAAAGGGATGCTGAAGGGGAATAGACCCAAAGTTCACTTGGGGGATTTTTTTTCTTTGAAAAAGGGGAGGTGGGGTGAGGAGTAATGCCAGTAGCTTTCTAGCAAAGAGCTCTACAATACTAAAGCAGCATGAACCTAGGAAGATGAAACCAAAATTCTGCTTGGGAACTACATTTCATTTCTCAACTTCCAACTGGTTGTTTTTAAACAGAACAAAAATCTCTTAAAATTATGTAAACTTTTTTTGTTTGTTTTTTCAGGTTAAGGAAACAACTCTCAGTTTGAGGCCATGAATAGATTACTATAGAAAGATCCTGTTATCCCAAGCTTCCGCGGATATTCATAGATTTTGAAGGCCAGAAGGGACCATTATGATCATCTAATCTGACCACCTGCATAACACAAGACCCAATAATTTCTGCATCAAACCCATAACTTCTGCTTGAGCTGTAGTACCTCTTCTAGAAAGATATACAGTCTTGATGTAAAGACTGCAAGTGATGGAGAATTCACCACATCCCTAGGTAAGTTGTTCGCATGGGTAATTACCTTTGCAGTTAAAAAATCTGTATCTTATTTGTAGTCTAAAATTGTCTGACTTCAGCTTCCAGCCACTCAATCTCATTCTGCCTTTTCCTAGTAGGTTGAAGAACTGTCTACTGTCAGAAAATCTCTTCCTTATGTAGGTATTTGTAGACAGTGATCAAATCACCTCTTCACCTTCTCTTTGAACTAAATAGTTTGAGGGTATTTCAGTATTTAGCAGTTTCAAGGCCTAAGTGAAGTACCTGAGGGCCCACCCCTTTCCCCCTGCCATAATACCACAGCTGGGTGCCACTGGTGTAAATGAGAAGGAGCTGCTGGCAGGTCTCCTGGGGGGTCCTACAGCTTGGGAATTGCTTCCTCTATGTTGGTCTGAAAAAGTGCAGGAGGTGAATAGTTAGATAGTGAAGCTTTAGCTATCCAGTTGCCTAGATTTTTGGTTTGGATCACAGAGCATATAGCTGCTGTCTAGTTGCATGGGAGGTCTATTGCCCATGTCTTTAATGCTGAGGCTGCTCAGAGCACAGGGATAAGTATGCCCCTTAATTTGTATATATCTAAATAAGTAAAAGCCAAATTGACCTACCAGAATATCGAATTCTTCTGTTGCAATACCTATGCCTACACAACAAGACATTCCTGTTATTCATGGCTCTGAGCCTCCCAATTGTTTCATCATTGCAACAAAATCTCACTTCAGTTTATTTTTCTATTACTGTTCTTGCAGAAGGTATTTTAACTTGCATCTATAAAATCATTTAATAGTAATCAAATAAACCCACCCTTCCCTGTAGTACTATAGACCAGGCTCATACTGTACGTTACAGCAATAACAAAGTAGGCCAGGAGGCCTTGCTGTATTGACATGAGTTTAGCAAATACTGTCACACCACATTCTTGAATTATTCAGTGTCACCATTATTTTCTCTGTCACCAACTTACTTGGATATACTGAGGGAAGAGGGGGAGAGTGTTTACCGAGTGTGATTATGAAATCCAATGGAGTCCAGAAAACACCATGTGACAGATAAAAAATAAAACAAGCCTTGATTTGCGTGAGCAGGCTCTGCATTTTGCTGTAGGTGCACTTGTTGTGTGTCAGCATTGGTGGGTAGGTAACTAAGCTTCTGATGATGCAACTTTTCTAACTTTAAGTGCAATCATTTTAAGACAGGAGTAATGAAGCAATTGGGGGGTAACTGGCATTCGTGTGAAGTAGACAAGAAAGATGCCTGGGCATACAAGAATCAAACTAAAGTCAACAACAAACTCTATGCGAGACACAGGTAAGAAAGTAGATAATAAAATTCCCTTTCAGATACTTATTCCAGGGAAGCTGCATTGGTTAGCAGTAAGAGCAAGGGAGGCATGAGGTCTAGGTACTATTCCTGTATCTGACTCTGATTCCTGTGCTTTGGCTTCCCCATCTATGAAATGGCAATAATGGTTATTCACCTAAGTAATGTGGCTTGAGATTGTTAGGTGAAAGGTACTATGTAAGTGCAAAGTATCAAAGTACAATTCAGAGGAACAAGGCATTAGGAAAACTTCCTCTTAACCGAAAAGGAATTTGCTAAGACGTGACAATTAGTCCCTGACAGACTCTGGAGCAGTACCCAGGAGCAATCATGGAAACACTATTGTATATCAGAAAGGAAATAGTAGCAATAAAAATGGCTTGATGTTGTATAGCACAGGCTTGGGCGGTTAAATGTTAAGTATCATGCCTAGGCCATAGCTGTTTGCAATGTTGTAGCCGTGTTGGCCCCAAGATATTAGAGCAGGGGTGGGCAAACTACGGCCCACGGGATTGCCCCCCCGTGGTGCCGCGGACCCCGCGCCACTGTCAGAAGCGGCTGACACCAATTCCCTGCGGCCCCCTGGGGGGGGGAGCGCAGAGGGCTCCGTGTGTTGCCCTTGCCTCCAGGCACTACCCCCTGCAGCTCCCATTGGCCAGGAACGGTGAACCGTGGCCAATGGGAGCTTTGGGGAAGGTACCTGGAGGCGCGGCAAGGGCAGCGCATGCGGAGCTCTCTGCCCCACTTCCCCCAGGGGCCGCAGCGCTTCCTGGAGCGGCGCAGCATGGGGCCAGGGCAGGCGTGCAGGGAGCCTGCTCTGGCCCCGGTACGCGCTGCTGCCACTCCGGAGCCTCTTTAGGTAAGCGGTGCCGGGCCGGAGCCCGAACCCCTCTTGCACCCTGCCCCCCAACTCCCTGTCCTAAGCCCTCTGCCTGCACCTCACACCCTTCCTGCACCCCACTCCCTGCCCTGAGCCCCTTCCTGCACCCCAATCCTCTGCCCTGAGCTCCCTGTTGCACCCTGCACCCTTGTGCACCCCAATCCTCTGCCCTGAGCCCCTTCGTACACCCCTGTGCACCCAACCCCCTGCCCTGAGCCCCCTGCTGCACCCCACACCCCTCCTACACCCCAACCCCCTGCCCTGAGCCCCCCCTGCACTCCTG